TTTTTTTTTTTTCACAAAATAGAAATAAGATTATTATTATTATTATTCGAGTAAACATTTTAAATTAAGTGCCAACCATAATCGAATTTTTTTTTCGACTACAATTTTTTAATGGAATTTTCTATCAAAAATATAATTGTTTATTATGTTATCACGATTTCATGAAACTAATTTTAAAATGACAAAATCGCTTTTGTTTTTAATTCGGAGAAAAATAATTTTATTATAAATATATATATAAATAATATAGGATGAAAGAATATAAATTGTTACTTCAGTATCATTAAAATCATAATAATTATTTTATAGTTTAATGGCTGAGTAAATTTTATTTTTAGCTTTTATTTTATACCGACTTTGTCGTAATTATTATTATTAGCAATTTGCATAAAAGTAAAAAAAATAGGATTATTATTTTACCGGGCATGTTTTTTTTTTTTTTTTTTTTCAATTAATTAATTAATTAATTATAAATTTTAAAAAATAATAATAATAATAAGAGCGACAAAGCAAAGCCATTATTATTATTATTGTTTGATTCTCTTCGTCTGACAGATATTTCGTTTTCATGAGATTGCCTCATTAATACTTTTTCGTTTTGTGTTTTTCTAATGTTATCATTTTCCTTATCTTTTACTTTCTCTCTCTCTCTCTTTCTCGATTAAAAAACTACTCGAATGAAATAATTATTTTTAAATTCCATGTTAATAATAATTAAATGATTTATATATATTATGTCATACCTGTGTTTTTATTTTTTAATAAAACTTGATAAACTTAACAATCTGCTCAAAAAAGCTATCATTCATTTTCGAAATGATATTTGTAATTAATAATATGCAGAGGGAATCGAAAACAACTCGATTTCAGAAAATACATTGTTATGTAATGAATGTTGTTTCTTTTTTACTTTTTTTTCTATTCGACACTTTCCAGCAATTCTTTATTTCAAATTATCAAAGCTGACATAAATAATAATGATGATGATGATGATATCTGTGAATTTCATATCGATAATAATAATAATTATTATAAAAACTATTTTGATAGCTGCTTTGCACGTATTTTGTATTGTGTTTTTTTTCCATTTTTGTCTCCATTACTTTTTTTTTTTTTTTTTTTTAACACAAAGAAAACAGGAAAAAAACAAATTATTCATTTCATTTCTTTAAAAAAAAAAAAAAAAAAATATTTTTCTACATGACTCTCATTTGTCATCATAAAAAACAGTAGTAAACAAAACAAATGAAAAAAAATATGATTAAATTTTCAAGGGTAAGTGCCCTCGCTTAAATTTAAACCCCGTTTTCATGGCCGTTTCTTTTTTTTAAAAAAAAAAAAAAAAAAAAAAAAAAAAAAAATTTCCAAAAAAAAAAAAAACCAAAAAAAAAAAAGGGAAAAAAAAAATTTTGTACAAACATAAAATATTTTTTTTTTTTTTTTTATTTTTTATTTTTATTTATTTTATTTAATTTATACATTAAAAATAATTTTTTTTTTTTTTTTTTTTTTTTATATTTTTTTTTTTATTTTTGCGAAATGTGATCTATAATAATAATACTGAGTGTCTTTACTGACAAAATGCCTTCGACAAATTTTCAAATGACCGCTAAACATCCTGAATGTTCAGAGGTAATTCCACTTTCTTACATCCATTCATTTGCATTATTACATATTTCATTGAGTTTTTACAATATAGTATTTTATTTTAAACGTAAATCATTTTCATAAATACCACACTTTTTCACCCCCCCCCTCTCTCCCCCTTAATAATATATATTTTTCTTAATTGTTTATATGTTAAAAAAGGGGAGAGAGAGAGAGAAAAAAAAAAAAAAGAAGCAAAACAATGTTTGTTTATTTTTTACTTTATTTTTATTTTTTATTTTTTACAATTGGTAAAACTGATTGTGTATAATTATAACTGTCTTTTTTGAAAAAAAAAAAAATGTTTTATCATTGATTTACAAATACAAAGACAAATAAAAAAATTATATATTTTGTTTTCAATTCATGATTTGTATGAATTTATTTATTGTTTTAGATGACTATGGATGAAAAATATGTGGAGAGCATATGGGGTTTGCTCAAGAACGCAATTCAAGAAATTCAAAAAAAAAACAATTCAGGTCTGAGCTTTGAAGAGCTTTACAGAAATGCATATACAATGGTTCTTCATAAATATGGAGAAAGACTTTATTCTGGACTCAGAGAAGTTGTCACACAACATTTAGAAACAAAAGTATGAATTTTTAAAATTTAAAACGAGTAATTTTTTAATTTTTGTAAAAAAAAAATGATTTCGATATTCCCAAAAAAAAAAATTCATGTGTTCACCATTAATATCCGTATATGCCCATCCTTAAACAATTTATGTTGTCACCTGTACAATTGATTAAATACATGCTGACATTGTTTTAGGTTAGAGAAGATGTTTTAAAAGCTCTCCACAATAATTTTTTAACAACATTAAATCAAGCTTGGAATGATCATCAAACATCTATGGTCATGATACGTGATATTCTCATGTATATGGATAGGGTTTATGTTCAACATAATGATGTTGATAATGTCTACAATCTGGGGCTTATTATTTTTAAGGATCAGGTATTATATTGATTTAATCAGAATTTAAAAAAGGTTGTCTTTGAACCTTATGAATAGGATTTTACTTGCCACTCATGTGAATAACTGACCGATTATCATTTTGTTTTTCCAAGGTGGTTCGGTATGGTTGTATTAGAGACCATTTAAGGGAAACTTTGTTGGATATGATAATGCGTGAAAGGAAAGGTGAAGTCGTCGATAGAATAGCTATAAAAAATGCATGTCAAATGCTAATGGTCCTTGGAATAGGAAAAAGATCTGTTTATGAAGAAGATTTCGAAAGGCCATTTCTTCAACAATCTGCTGATTTTTATAGGGTAATTATATTTGTTTTCGAATGCTTTTTGGAATGAGAACACTTGGAGAGACAAGAAACAAATTGGATATTTTTTTTTTGAATTTCAGATGGAAAGTCAAAAATTTTTAGCTGAAAATAGTGCGTCTGTGTATATTAAAAAAGTAGAAGCTCGTATAAATGAAGAAGCCGAAAGAGCGAAACATTATTTAGACGTGTCAACGGAAACTAGAATAGTCGAAGTCGTCGAAGAGGAATTAATAGAGAAACACATGAAAACGATTGTCGAAATGGAAAATTCGGGTGTAGTTCACATGTTGAAAAATCAAAAAACAGAGGATTTAGCATGCATGTATAAATTATTTTATCGAGTGACTGATGGATTGAAAACCATGTCGGATTGCGTGAGCCAGTACCTTAGGGAACAAGGGAAAGCGTTAGTTCAAGAAGAAAATGGTGGAACGAACGCTATTAATTTTGTACAGGTAAAAATTTTAATTTTTTATTAAAACAATTAATTTTTTTTTTATATATAAAATAATAAATTAAAAATTGAATTGTAATTTTTTTTTTAGAATTTACTCGATCTTAAAGACAGGTTCGACCATTTTCTACATAATTCATTCAACACAGATAAAATATTCAAACAAATGATAGCGTCGGATTTTGAACATTTTTTAAATTTAAATCCAAAATCTCCGGAATATTTATCACTTTTCATTGATGACAAGTTGAAAAAGGGTGTGAAAGGGATGACCGAGCAGGAAATCGAAACGGTACTCGACAAAACGATGGTCTTGTTTAGATTTTTACAAGAGAAAGATGTTTTCGAAAGATATTACAAGCAACATTTGGCAAAAAGGCTGTTATTAAATAAATCTGTCAGCGATGACAGCGAGAAAAACATGATCTCTAAACTTAAGGTGAGCTTTGCTTTTTTTTTTTTTTTTTTTTAATTTTTTTTTTTTTTTTTCAATCGAGGGATTTTGTTTTTACAATTTTCAGTCAATTTATTATTTTTCTAACGCCACCCCCCCTCCTTTCCCCTCGTTCCACCCCCCTCCTCGCCCCTCCCTGCGCGGTAGTTTTTTTTTCTCTCTCTCTCTCCCTTTTGTAAGGTTTTTTCAGTGCCCGTCAAATGAATGAAATTTCGTTGAAATGTTTCGAATGAATCGGAGATTTACTCTCGCCTTTTTTTAAAGGCAATAATAATGATAATAATATCAGTCATTTAATTTAAGTATCACGATATATATATATATATATATATATATATATATATATATATATATATATATATATATGATTCCCGAAAAATCGGGGAAAATCTCATTACGCTTATCATATATTACTTGATAAAAAAAAAAAAAAAAAAAAAAAATTTTAGGGTTCAAGGTGAAGAGATTATTCAGTCCCCAGATTTGAATTTCTTCTTTTTTTACAGACAATGTATGAAAATTCTCTGAAAAGTAGTTAATTGTTGTTGTTGTGTGTCCCTGTAAATTATGTGTGTGCCCCAAGTTGTCGACAAAAAAAAAAAAAAAAAAAAAAAAAAAAAAAAAAAAAAAACTTCCCAAGAAGAAAGAACCAGAAGCGGATGCGTGGAATAGTTTTAAATGAAGCTCGTGTTACAAATTAGTGATAATCTTCTACCCAAAAATCAATTCAAATTTTTTTTTTTTTTTTTTTTTTTTGACTTAACTTTACTTAATTTAATTTAATTTAATTTATTTAAATTGAATTCAATTTTTTTTAAATTCGAAATTATTTTAAGAAAAATTAAGGAAAGTGGTAAATTTTTTTTTTTTTACATCATCATCATCATCATCATCATCATCATCAAATCATTAAAAGCTGGTTGATGAAGGTTTTCGAATTGGGGGCGGGGGGGGGGGTGAGGGGCGAGGGGCGGGAAATGAATTGTTTACAATTAAAGTGTCACGTGTAAAAATGATTATACTATTGTATGTATACACTATAGACGATATTGATGATACGGTTGAGAAAATTTTGTAAATTTTTTATTTATTTATTTATTATTATTATTATTTTTTTCTCTCTCGATATATTGAAATAAATAATGTCTGTATTTAAAACAAGTTCGCGGGTTTTTTTTTTTTTTGTAATTTTCGTTCTTATTTTTATAAATTTTTTAATATATATTAGAAGATAGAATCGCTGATTTTGCGCACGAGCTTCTAAAATGTAAGCCCTCTCATTATTTAAATTATTGAATATTAAGTAAATTTAAAAAAAAAAAAAAAAAATTTTTTAAGTTTTTTTTGTTTATA